CTAACTGTAAGGAGACATAAACCTTACAGGAACTCTACCTAGGCGCTAAACAATATATTTGTGGAGAGAGCAGAAAACAACCCCTTAAAAATTCATCAGAAGGATAAACATTGTTGCGATCCACGGCCAAATTGTACGATCCTCTCCCATTCTGGCTGTGTTTTAATGAAAAGAGAATGTTTCATAGCTTATTAAAATATTGACCAATGCGAGTACAACATGGCCGGAAAAAGAACATGGGTGCGATCCTTCACTACCCAATCGCAGTTTATGAAATGTTAAAGTGCCATTGGATGAACATGATGTCACAGCATACATGCGGGAATTTTCAAGATAACGACAAGATGCCACGGGAAGGAGAAAGCTATAAGCACACATCAATAATGTAATATTTAAAGTAATTAATAAGAAATAGTTTTAATTTCAGAAAATAACCAATAAGAAGTTTAGAAAATATTGCAAAATTTGATTCAGTATAGTTTGATTAAATTAATTACAATTAGCCATTGTATTTTTGTTAGGGACTTCGCCGCGATCCCATATTGCGGTATTCTTTTCATTAGCAATCCTCACACAATTGAATTATTATAGAGCTTTATAAACATATATAAAGTTTATGTGATTACCAAGGATGTTTTTCTTTGATGCTGATCATGATAATACCGATTAATAAAATATGTTAACAAGACAGAGGGTTAGCAGTTCCGTCAAAGAGATTTAATTGCATCAGATGATTAATTAATGAGGATTTGACATGTTTTATTATGCTTCAAATACCATAGCACTCAGAAATTTTAAACTAAAATATCTTTATTATTGAGTTCTGAGGGATGTTAAAATTTTTATTTATTGTGAAGTAGTTTAACCTCCAGGCTCAAGAGGTCAAATCTTGGCGAACAGGAAAAATTGTTTTAACCTTCGATTATGGGGCATTAAAAATTATTTTACCCCACATTAAAATAAAAAAAAAATTCATTTTAGGCAAGACATCATCTTCTTAAATAAAAAAAATGTATTAAGTAATCTTTTCATACACCTTGGGAATCAAATCAAAGCCACAAATTACATTTACAAGAAATATTAATGGAATCGATCTAATTTTATCCAGAAACTCTAGGTCAATACTAGATTTATTGTGAGGAATGAGCTCACTAAATGATACCCCTGTGTCCTGTATGGATATAATGGCAAGGACCACGTTTGGCTCTGGGAGCCCCGTAGTAAGTGTCAGATGAAACAAATATTAATAGGTGGTACTCAACGACATGATGAAATTAAGAATTTATGAAAGTATTAAATTTTATTCTATATACCCTCTCACTTTTCACGCGGGGGGGGGGGGGGGTATTTAAGGACATGTTACCGTGATTTGTTAAAAGAATCAGAATCATGCGTTTTCTCAACACACAACCTACAGCTTTTTGCTAATTTAAACATCCATTTTTTTCCGCCTTAAACGCAAAATTTCGCGCAAAATTTTATACAGAATCGGTTATTTTGTTCGGTGTTTTATGAACATTTGTCCATCTAGTCCTGCGTTGTTTGAGCGAGTGTCTGTCATTGTTTTGAGGAGTAGCTGGAGTACAATCCATCTGAGTTCGACACCTGTGCACAAAAGAGAAACCAATTACATTTTCGGGTGTTTTGAGGATGTCATTTATCGATTACACCAAGATGCAGTGAAAGTTTTTTAACTGTGAAATCCAGAATTTTATTCTTTTATTTCGGAATTTGCAAGAAACACTTTCTCATTTACAGATAATATTTGTAAAGCAATAGGATTTGAAGGATTTTACTCCACCACTTTTTTATCATTTTCTATGAAATTTGGAGATTATTTCTGATATATTATTTATTGATCATTATGTCAGATATTAAGCTCTCCGGGGCGCTAACGCCCCTCGGATCATCCAATATATGACTTAATTGACAGTTTTCGGCTAATAAGTAATAATCATAACAAAAATGAGGCCAGAAAGAAAAGACACTGAGTGACTAGTATTTTGCGATCTTCAAACATGGCTGTTTTGTTTTTCTGCATGTTTGGTCCTATGGAAACATGACAAATATCATGACGGAATGTCGTTGATGACCTGGGTCACAGAACATCATCTACCGACCGTACACTTAGTAACATTTACTGTCCCCGATCACTATATGAAAAGCACCCGTAGCCAGAAAACGCACAGAAAACCAAAATCTGCAACTGAGGAGGAAAGGCTTGCCTTCTTGTGGATTTTAATCTGTGTTCTACCAAAGTCAAAAAAAGGCGATCGTAGGCGATCGACATTGTTCGTAACATTCGTCATCTGAGTTCATTTCCATTTAGACGATCTTTTACTACCTTACTACGATCGGGTCTTTGTGTAGTATGCAACAAATAACTAATATTTTCGTTATCTTCTACGCATGTCTGTCATTTTAATCTCCTTGAGAAAATTTTTAAGATTGATTTAGAGTTATACCAAAATATTTGAGTATTTCCTAAAATTCTGTTGAGTAAAACTTACTTTATCGTGGTGACAGTGACTTCAGGGTGAGGGTATGGATTTTATAGAGAAAACTTCAGAGATTAGGCTGAGTGTTGAGTTCAGGGGTGATGAAAAGCGGCGGAACCTGTTTAATTTTCAGGTTGCTATGTAGATATCCTTCCAGATTTTATTATATCCTCCGGATAATTCCACAGATGTTTTTAAGTGGCTGGACTTGAGGTTAATGTGATATACCTGAGGTAGAACCTTACGGGATGAGGCTGGGTATTGAGTTCAGGGGCCTGTTGTCGCACACTCGATAGTCAATATAAGACGGGTCGGATACCTTAGGTTTAGAATATTTAATTTTTTTTAACTATATAAATGCTTTCTAAATGATATTTCTATATTTAACCTGTATTGCAGTTTCTAATCATTCAACCAATCTAAGTTTAAAAAGTACTCTTACAATTTTTCACTTCTCGGAATATCTAGCCTCGGCCACAAAAAGTTCTCAGTATGACTTCTCAAGAAAAACTTATTCTGTTCGCAAACATCGCCTTTTGTTAAAATTCATGTCAATTGTATTGCCTGATGGTTACACTTTAGAGACCCTTGGTCATTACCAAAGTGATGGAAAGCACAATGATGCTGCACTTACACATCATATCATTGATACTAATAAAGAGCTAACTGATGTATTTCGGGCTGGGGTATCTGTGTAGTTGATAGGGGTTTCAGAGATGTCTTGGACGTTTTTAAGCAATTGGGATATGAATGCAAGATGCCTGCTTTCCTCGAAAAAAGTAGGAACAAACATTCGATAGAGGAAGCAAATGAATCGAGGCTAGTGACTATGGTCAGGTGGGTTGTGGAAGCTTATCATGGGCGAATGAAAAAGTGGAAATTTTTCGATTGCGTTATTGATAATGATTTTATTCAAATCATCGGCCAAGTCAGTACACAGCTAATTGTGCCACATACGTTTCACGAACGTTAAACGTATGTGACACGTACGTGTCTTCACGTACGTTTTCCATGAAAAAGATACCACGTACCGTGTCACATACGTTTAGAAACGTATGTTACACGTACGTGATTCATACGTTAAACACACGTGGTAAATATTATACGTTAAACATACGTGAGTAAACGCACGTTATACATATGGAACACATATGTTTAACATGTTTTCAAAAGATGGTAAATGTATGTTATACATATGGATCACATATGCTTTAAATGTTTCATAAATTTGTTAACCAAATTTGAACTGAGCATAATTAATATGCTGCTATATAATTCATAATTATCAGTTATACACTCAACCTTTAATACAAGAGTACCACATGCACTGGTAATAATAAACATGTGCATATAATACTTCCCGTTCTAATACATTCTAATACTATTCAGTTCTTCTTGTGGAAATTCTTGAACTTGCAGCTTGCAACCTTAACCTCTTCAACTGATAAACTGATTTTCACATCAATGGAACTACATGTACCAAAGATTTCATCTTCCATTTCCAACGGTTAATCTAAAATTGCCATAAAAAGAGAAAACAAATATTCAGAATTCATAAATCTTTAATTTCCCTCTATGGTACATGTACATTATTCTTCTGTGTTGTCTGAAAAAGAAAAAAAGAATTTAACAATCAAGACATTAGAATTTTGTTGAAAAACATTTCATCAACTGGCAGGATCTGACGGTACTGTTTGCATATAAGATATGATCTGAACATGACTATTTTCATGTATACTATGAATTAAGTTTTGATTTGTCACATCCATCATATTTTAGAATTTATAACAATATAAACACATTTTATATGAATTTTCAAGTGGTCTTGCTTTTGTTGCTAATATTTCTGAGAATAAAACCAAAGCATGCTTTTACCTCTGACCCTTTCAGTCCTTCTTCTATCAATATCCTCGAGTCTTTCCCATTTCTGGGGGCGTTCATCCTTCTCGATCTAATATTTAAAAAAAAATGCAAAATGAATAATTATTTTACAAGGAAGGCTGTCAAACTGTCCATTCTGTGAGAGAGAAACAACCCAAGCAACCAGGCAAAAACCCTTAAAAAGAATGACCTTTTTCTTTTCAAAAAGAATGAACCAAGTTAACTTCATGGATTTATTTGAGGAGTTAATGAATTAAATAAGAGCTGTTAAATCTGTACCTTCAAGTTTATAAAAAAAAAAATAATGAAGGATCTTTCTTTCATACTGATAACTGATTAAAATGTTACCTCTTCCAAAAAGGCCTTGAAGTCTGCCCAGAAGGCAGTCGACTCTCCTGTATTAAAATACTTCTTCTTGTGAAGAAAGTGTCTCTGAAATAAAATAAAGATTTCATTAAAAAAATATACACTTTAATTCACTGTGATCTGCATTTGATTTTGGTTTAAAACTCACCAAACCAAAAGTCTCTGATGAGACTGTAGCTCTACTGATCAATACTTATAAAAAGGAAACAAAAAGTAGCATTTGGACTTGAAACTTTGCAACAACAAAAAATTAGAATTTTATCATTGGTTTTAGTCTTTCTTGCAGCAAGATTTATTGAAATCAAAGAAATTTTAATTTCAGTGACCATGGCAACACCATTCATCAAAACCAAAAATGGTACACAGAATTGTGTATCTTAGTGTAGTCTCTTTGTGTGCTAAGTTTAGTTATACATGTACTGAAGTCATACCAAAATTGTTGGAGGAGTAGCATTTTGATTGTTTACAGACAGATTTCTGTGATTTCTTAATGTTTTTCTCTGCTACATGCTTCATCACGATTATACTGTGCCTATTGTGACATCACATTGTGTTTGTTCCATAATACATCGACCAAGTATAGATTTACAATGGACCTGGTATAGATTAACATATGAAAGGGTATAAGTAATCCACCTCCTTCACGTGACAGACTTTAACCAATTGTAAGCCAAGATTTCATGGAAAAATCAACAATGGGGTTAATTAATATATGCAGATAAAGAAAATTTATCATATAATTTTATAGATAGATTTATCAAATGATAAGTTAATTTAATATTTGTAGCAATCTGATCCTCCCTCTACATACTTAAGTGTAACAAAGCAAAGCAAATTAGATAAAAAACAAGATGTTTTTGTTGAAACACTCTGCGCCTGGTGGCAACAAAGTTTAAAAAAAGCTATTTTTAGCATATAAGTCACAGTCAAGGTCACAAGGTCATTGAGCTTGATGTCATTTGGAAGAACTTGATAAGTGGAGTATGCATACGAAATATGAAGTCTCTACCTCTGATGGTTCAAAAGTTATGGTGAAGGTAAAAAAAAAAGCTTTTTCAACATATAGGCCACAGTCAAGGTCACAAAGTCATTGACCTTGGTGTCATTTGTAAGAGCTTAATATGAAGTCTCTATCTTTCATGGTTCAAAAGTTATGGCAATTGAGGGTTAAAGTTTGCTGACAAAAAAAATATTTTTAGCATATAGGTCACAGTCTAGGTCACAAAGTCATTGACCTTGGTGTCATTAGAAGGAACTTTTAAAATTAGTGAAGCATGCATACCAAGTATGAAGTCTCTATCTTTTATGATTCAAAAGTTATGGTGAAGGTTAAAGTTTGCAGACAAACAGGACAAAAACAATATATGTCTTGGATCTTTTGATCTGGGCTCATAAAAATACTTACTAATACAAGTGAGGCATGCATCCTCTCCACTGAGAGGATGCATTCATCTGCCTTGCAATAGTTTTGGAAGAGGTAGACACATAGTTCTCCCAGGGGCTTGGCAGGTATGATGGCCTTGTCTGCTAAAATCTACTTGTATGCAAAGATATTTTTTAACTCATGTCATGAGTTTTGAGATTTAACAAATAACTGATAGTTGACAAGTTATCACAATCACATACCTTTCTCCTAAACTGGTTTCTAAGCTCAGTAAATTTTGATAACCCAAAGGACACCATTTCCTGCATAGCAGCAGGATTCGTCCTCATGCCGTCCATGGCCAGACATGTGTGAATCTCATTCTGAAATGTTCAAGATTAATTATTAAGAAAAACAAAACAAAAAAAAAAAACAGAAATTACAAAAACTCTGCATTATTTAAGAGTTATCATATAAAATAAGTGATGCTTTATTTTAGGCATTTTACTGTTTTACTACAAATGTACTTTTACACATTCAACCAGTGATTCTATATAAGGAACAAGAGGTCCATGGGCCACATCGCTCACCTGAGCACATTGGCTAGGAGAGAAAAAGCAAAAATCACATCAGTATTGAGATTCATGGGGGATATTGAAATTAAATGACATGATGTTGCTTTCATATCAATTAATATAACAGATGGCTTTGCTGTTTCTGAGCAGCTGATTTTTCTCTCATTCATATGACCATCCTGCCCCCATTGTGGCCCAGCACTACCCCTGGGGGGGGAGGGGCTCATTTGAAACAGTATGACTTTGTACTACCTGAGGATGCCTCCATATCAATATGATTAAACATGGCTTTTCTGTTCTTGGGAGAAAAAAAAAGTTTTTCCTTGATATTTCTAAGTAAAACTTTGATCCCCAATTGTGGACCACCCTACCCACCCTCCTACTCCCCCAGCCATGACTTACTTCAAGATTACCATACGTGAGGATGCTTCCAAAAAGATATGATCAATTATGATCTTGTGGTTCTGAAAAAGAAAAGCTTTTGACAATTTTCTTATGTATTCAGGATGATTGATCATTGATGTAAAACTTTAATTGTCCGTTATTGTCCCACCCTAACCCCGGGGTCATAGTTTGAAAAAAAAACTTGAATCTGCATTTTTTGTTTAGGATGTTTTCACTTAAGTTTCATCCTTTTTGGAACAGTGGTTCTTGAGAAGAAGCTTTTCAAAGAATTTTCCTATATATATATATTCCTATGTAAATCTTTGATCGTCAGCTGTGGCCCCGCCCTACCCCCGGGGGTCATGATTTGAACAATCTTGAATCTACAATACCTGTGGAAGTTTCCATACAAGTTTCATCTTGCCTGACCCAGTGCTTGTAAAGAAAAAGATTTTTAAAGAATTTTCCTATATCTTCCTATGTAAAAAATTGATCCTCAGTTGTGGTCTCACCCTACCCCTGGGGGTCATGATTTGAACAAATTGAAATCTACACTATAGCGGAGGAAGTTTTCATAGAAGTTTCATCTTTCCTGGCCCAGTGGTTCTTTAAAAGAAAATTTTTAAAACATGCCATTAATTTTTTACTAATTTTTAATTATCTCCCCTTGAAAAAGGATGTGGCCCTACATTTTACCACACCTTAATTCCCTTCACAAAGGATACTTTGTAGCAAGTTTGGTTGAAATTTTCCCAGTGGTTCTTGAAAAGAAGTAGATGTGAAAAGTTTAAAGATGGAGGGAAAGCTAGAAAGACCGACGCCGGACAAAATGTGATCAGGTGAGCCAATAAATCCAGAAGAATGTGAGCAAATAGACAGACACACAAGGGTAAAACAGTATAGCCCTCTCGGTATAATAAGTCTGCAAACACAATTTAAGATTTTACCCTAAAGTCATCATTTTTCACATCTAGCCATGGACGGCAGGAGAACCGACTCCTCAGATATAAAGTATATCTCCTCTGAAATACAAAGAACTTGAATTTCATTGCATGAATCAACTGTATATTTTAAGTTTTTTGATCTCATATTCTCAGAAGAAAATTATTTTTCTTACAGGCATATGTGAATATATATTCAAGATTTAAGTAATTTTAAGAAATATAACATAAAGTTAAGTGTCAAATGCATCATATGGTTATTGAATTCAAACCTTGCATTTTGCCGTGTCCATGGTGAACTTTGGGCTGGTAATGAGGTCTGTAGTAGGCTGCTTTTCCTTTAGTTCTCTGATTTCCTTGCGAAGGAGGGAAATCTCCCCCGCAAGTTTGTCTAGCTTTCTAACTAGAAATGTAGAGTAAAATGGATGATAAGTGAGGCAAAATTTTTACTACAGTTTTACCACTTTACTGAAAACCATGCAGCTGTTCTATAAAAATCTGTATATATGACAATTCAAAAATGTTTGTATATTTGACAATAACTATATATATAGAAATTATCCCCCCCCCCAATTTTTTTAAACCATATATATATTTGAAAATTTAAAAATTAACAGGCATTGAATATGTGACAATAAATAAAACGTAATTTTTTTTACACATTAATTCAAACATATAAGCCAGGATTTTACATTTCCCTTAGTTTCTTTTAATGTATTTATTAATTTGTTATTTATTTATATGCATTTAATTAATTTGTATGCAAAAGTTTTAAAGTTGTTCCTTAGCTAACATTATATAATCTAACACTAAATTGCTGCACTCCATGCAAAAACCGTGCAGTCTCATGATTTGAAAAAAAAAGAGTGAGGGACAGGGGATATATGCATTGAGTTAAGATTATGTAGTCAATGATTATTTTTTCAACACGACAAAGATGTTTTCAAATTGTAAATTGATAATTCTTCCTATATCTTAAACAATTTGTGCATTCTGAATTTTGTTAAAATATAGCTGACCAGAATACTGAAATAAAATATGAGAGGATACTTACTTATTTCATCATTTTTGCTGCCTGGATTTTCATTATTTTCATTGAAGAGGTCTTGGCTCTCATGTCCAGCAGCGATGGACTCGGGAATTGTCTCTTGTGAATCCTAGATACAAATCAAGGTCATATCATGAATTTACAGCTATAAAAAGGGGTATAATATTCATGAAGTTCTGTAATTTACACTTTCTCTTCATGTGTACTTGTGCATCTTGCATCTATTCGATATTTTCTCAAGAGCAACATTTTACGTTAGATCTATCATTGCATTCAAAGTATTCATATTTTTTTATCTGTCTGTGAGTTTCTGAAATAAATGTGCATCTTAAGGACACAAGATATGCATGAATAATTTTACTTCAATTATTTTTACGAAATAAGCAAACTAATCTTTGTTTTGGACCTATTTATAACTCACCGCAAATGCGTCTGTCATCTTGGATTTCCCCTTATGACGTCTGCTTTTGAAGGGTTCCGAAAGGGATAATGTAGGCCAAAGTTGGATTATCATCGCCTTTTAGTTACGTTTTTCTTTAATTTTCTTCCGATCGAAGACCTTATTTATCATTAAAAAAACTAAACAATTGACAGGCTTGTTTTTAGAATCTTTTTTTTTGCGAGTATTGGAAAATTCATGCTATACATAATATTTCCGTATCCCTTCGGTTCTCAGTGAAACCTAGGTAAACAATTATGGCGGACGCGGACGCTGCAGAAGACTTGAATTGCAATATCTGCAATTTTCAAACAAATAGGAAAGCCAATTTTGAAAAGCATCTGCAGTCACAAAAGCACAAAAATTTATGTTCCCTGCAGCTTGAACACCATGAGCCACCAAACGAAAGCGTCATTTTTGCAAACAGTTATTCGGAATTCATAGCGGATGCCGATGACGATGTTGGCAGCACTGCCACTGGGACTGCTTATAATTCTGCCAGTAGTGAACCTTTAGTACACGTAACAACACCAGAACCTTGTGTCCAAGCCCAAGGAGATTGGCACCCGTTTTCCTCAAAAATTGAAATGCTGTGTTACGTGTTTATGAGTTCAGCATCGCATCCCGTGGTAAGTAAATTATTATCACGGTACATGTACATACCTAATAACAACGCATTTCTATATGCACTGCGTAATGTTAAGCACCAGATTCCATGATGATTTTCTTATAGTTTATGATAAAGTGAACATCCAAAATTGATAAACATTCTCTCTCTCTCTCTCTCTCTCTCTCACACACACACACAATATAAAAGCAAGTTTTACAATAGCCTATATATTTACCCCACAACCAACCACCCCCGGCCCTCAAACAAATAAAAAAAACAAAGTGCACACACCATGCACACACCCTCTCACACACACACACACACAAAAGAATCTACACTACCCCAGGATGCTTCCACATGAGTTTCAGCTTTTCTTGCCCAGTGGTTCTTGAGAAGATTTTTAATGACCTCTCCCTATTTTTGTCTTTTGTTGATTATGTCCCCTTGTAAGGAGACTTGACCCTTCATTTTAAAATTTAAACTTCCCTTTAGCCAAGGATACTTTGTACCAAGTTTGGTTTAATTTGGTCCATTGGTTCTTGAGAAGGAGTTGAAAATGTGAAAAGTTTACAGATGGACAGATGAACTGACAGCTAGGCTGACAGCGGACAAAATGTGATAAGAAAAACTCACTTGAGCCTTCGGCTCAGGTGAGCTAAATAACATAATCAAATTTGTTCCTTTTTTTTCACAGAGTGAAGAGGTTGTTAAATTTGTACTGTTTATGTTGAAAGAAGCTGGTGTGTCAGATGTTCCCTCTCTTTTAAGACTTAAAAGTCTACAATTTGGAAATTTGAATTGGGAGGATATGATTACAAAGGTACAAGTACTTATATTACAAAGATTTACATTTACAGACTTTTTTCAAGACTAAATTTAAATTACTAAATTAAACATGTTAAAAGAAATGCACTGTAGCCTGAAATTTTCCATTTCTATAGGGAACAGATCAGAACGACATCCCATTTTGGATATTAAAACCAACAGAGTTACTTAAACTCCTCATTTCCAACCCAAAGGTGTCATCGAAGTTAATCAGGTTTGGAGATCATACATGTCAAGATGAATTTAATATACATTGTGAATTATGACCATTGCAATGCATCTGATACTTCATATTACACACTTTAAGCTTAGCTAATACATTTACTCAAGCTGTTAAAAGACTTCCTTAATAATATTCATTTCATCAATCTGATCAGGCATGTGATATCTATATCTCTTATGAATTGGGCAGCAAAAAATGTTGTAAGTTGAACGACAACAATCAAAATTTCATAACAATTAAAAAAATAATGATGCTGTAAACATTGTAGGAAACCAAGTACACAAACTGATGTTATTTCCCACCCAGCTGATGCAGAGAAGTGGAGGAGTGATATAAATTTTCACAAAGATGACAATAGTAACCCCCCTATAGTAACCCTTCCTGTCAATCTATTTTTGGATGACACCTCGACACACAAAAGCAAGAGATGGCTTCCACTACACTGTATCCAAATGCAGCTTTCAGGTATATAATTACTGTATATACTCGCCTATAAGTCAGATTTTTTGGGAGTTAAACTTTGATCCAAAATTCTATGTCTGACTTAAAGGCGAGATACAAAGATATTGGTATTCTAGAGGATCAATATTTCTATTAACATAAATTTAAAAAACAAAATTAAATTTTTCGAATTTTACGAATAATGAAAAATTTTCAAAATGAGAAGTCATAGAGACATGGGACTAATTGCATATTATTTATTGACCTTTGACCTTAAAATTTATGCAAAGGTCAAAGGCTAAGGTCATTCCAAAAATAAGAAATTAAGCTCTTTTAGTATCTCTTTCGTCTTTCAACATATACTTTGCATAATTAATATACACTCTTAAAACTATTTCAAAAGATTTAATTTTTGTCCTCTAAGATTAACCCTTTAAAAAGTTATTGCCCCTTGTGCAAAAACCTTGTTATAGCTACTCCTCTGAAAGCATACATTGTAGAGACACGAAACCTTCAATAATGTCTTCAGGGTCTTAATATACAACTTCAATGTAACTGTGCATTAAGATCAGAAGACCCCTTATATGAGTTATTGCCCTTTAACACATTAGCCCTTATTATTAAACCTTGTAACTTTAAAAGTATTTAAGTCATACAGACATGGGGTCAATTGCAATGTGACTCTTGACATTTGACCTTGAAAATCTGATCAAGGTCAAAGGTCATGGTCATTTCAAAATTTAAATTTTTCAATATTCTTTATCTTTTAAGCCATTTTTGAGTTCTTTTTCTTTAAAATTTATTTTAGAGAGTAAAATTTAAAAAGTATTAAGAAAATTTATTAAGGTGGAAAGATCTTTAATTGTTCGAGAACAATAAGTCTACTAGTTATAAGTGTGATATTGATCCATATAAGCTCCACAAATCCATACAAGCCCTTACTGCTGCTCTACTGAAATGGATATTGTAATATCAGGCATATTGTATAATTAAGCAAAAATCCTATAAGCACAGTTGAATTTCAGTATCTCAAACACTGATATCTAAAATACCATGGAGATGTTGAAGTAATTTGGAAGTAGCATTTCTTTATTCCTTTCGTATTTTCCTGGATATCTCTAATCTTCAAAGAATTTTCTCTATCCCATGGAGTTAAAGATAACAATGTTTAACTGTATGTAGTAAACAGTGATAAATATGATGGTTACTTAAATAGTTTCATATATATAGGAGAAATTAATACTAACAAGTCTAACTTTCTTTCAGGCTTGCCTTCGTGTGACAGAATGAAACAAAATTCTGTCTTTTTTATTGGAGCTTCGGAAAAAGTGGAAATTATGGACTTGGGCCAATTAGTGGTTGATGACATGCTAGAATGTGAAAGGTAAAAAATGAAGTGACTTGTGTAAGATTTATGAGACTCCCTTAAATGTACCAAGACATGGCTGTGATTTATAGTTACATGTTATACATGTATAAATTTTATGCATATCACATTATAAATTCACCCGCTTACAACACTAGTTCAAAAGGGAGTGAAATTATTTCATAAGTACATGCATACAGTGTTTAATTTAGAATAAAGATAAGTGTAGACTATAATGTTTTATTTCCAGGGGAGAGGTTTTATCTCTTGATGCACAAACAAAAAAAGAATGCATCATCAAAACTTGTATTGATGTTGTTGTGGCAGATTATGCCATGATGTCACACTGCACAAATCATTTGGGTGCAACAGCAAAGAAGTATTGTCCTAGATGTTTTGTAAGTTACACATTTGTACAATATATTATTTGGATAAAAATTGCTTTGAAACATTTCCAATGCATGTGGAAGTTTCCATACAAGTTTCATCTTGCCTGACCCAGTGCTTGTAAAGAAAAAGATTATTAAAGAATTTTCCTATATCTTCCTATGAACAGAGTTAAATGCAAAGTGTGATAGAAGGACGGAAGACGGAAATGACAAACACTATATGCCTCGGCCATATTCATGGCGGGGCATAAAAACAAATCAATTTCAACATGTTCAAGCTTTATATGGAGAGATATTGTATTTCAAATATATATAAGTCTATAGAGTTATTGTTCCTTGCTGAAGAGTGGACATCCTTAACTATGTACTGAATGTTAGGATAAATTTTATTATTTCAGGCAGATGCTGAAAACTTTAATCAGATATGTCAAAGAAGAACACCGGATGATACCAGACGGACGCTCAGTATCCTGAATATGAGGTGTTCAGAGAAAGATAGGCAAAAGCTGCGTTCTGCAAAGGGACTTAAAGAGCATGTCAACTGCTTCTGGGATGTTATTAACCCCCATAGGTTAGCTTCATTCATATGATATTCTATAATTTAAAAGATGTACTCTTTTCTTCATTTTTTTAAAACTACATTTAAATGTAATAATATGAAAGAAAAAGTAAGGAAGCTCACATGCCCCACTCTCCCTCAAAAGTCAAAGTGCTGAAATTACTGGAAAAAATAAAGGAATCCAAATTTCTTGGTAATACATGTATGCACATCTACATATTGTGTCCTAAATAACTGCAAAGTTTCACAAAATTCTGTGCTGCAGTTTATGAGGAGTTGTGCTCAGATGAAAAGAAAAAAAAGGACTGATGGACAGGTCAAAAACAATAGACCTCACTCAACTTTTTGCATTGTGTATAAAAATGTTATTAGAAGATAAAATCTGTTTTGGCCGTCATATTAATGATTTATACACTGTACTTTAACAATTGCTTTCCATATTTATTGAAGTGATATTCCTGTTGGACTCCTACACCTTATACCACTGGGATTAGCAAAACATCTCATTAAGTATATCATCAATGATGTAGACGATGAAATTTTGACGAAAATGTCAACTCATCTAGATGCCGTTGTCCAGGGTAACAGATTTGTAGACTTCTTCAAATATATGGACAGCCGCCAGGGAAAGGACTTTAAGGATTATGTAAGTCTCAATGGTTTTCTAGAGAAAGGGGAGGGTATCTACCACTACCAGTATGGTTTCATCATCCTTATCACATTTATTAAAGAATTATAATCATCTTATAACTGTTTCATTTATGTATATAGTATGAATATGTATAAACATTAAAGAAGAGCATGTAGATCAATTTATTGACAAAATGAATATTATGTATAGTTGCAGATTGCTCCTTTCAATATGAAGTTTGCTGGAGTCCCACAAAAATATGTAAAGATGGTTTCTTGCTTGTCATTGGTAAATACATGTATTTACTCAAATATAATTGATATCTGAATATTTTAAATCATACAGATGACTATCAACATTGATCAAGATAATAAATATTAAAGTTTTATTCCTGCATATGTACAAGATTTCTGTGTTCCGGTTCAATGTCTTTTGCACATTAAATAAGAGTAATAAGGAGTAATGCTTCAAATAAAAAAAACATAATATATGTAATAGTACATGTATATCAAATTAACCATCATGATTTCAGATACAACTGGAACTTCACAATGAAAGCTTCGACGAGGATGACCTTGAGCAACTTCAAGCAACTATCGACACATATCTCTCCTATGTCAAAACCTATGCACCTGAACTTCAAAGGAAAGCAAAGTCACATCTGCTTCTTCACATTGTAAGAAACTACACCTTAAAAACTTAAACTTTGCAATATGTTATTAAAGGATAGTTTTCTATATATGTATTATGAATATGCCATATGTTAATAAAGCAAATTATTGCATGTATTTGCTAGACATATTTAAAACTTTTAACACATTAAATACAATATCCATCTTCCTTTTCACTGTAACTGTATGTGTTAGAATTTCTTTTATTTAGGTTGACGACATAAGAAATCACGGGCCCCCCAAATGTTATGTGGAAGATGCCTTTGAAAAAAACCATGGCAACATACGGGAACAGATATTTCTTCAGAATCAGAAGGCACGGAGCCGTGATACTTGCATAAAGTTCACGAAACATACAATATGCCAGCACATTTTGTCTGGAGGATTTTTTAAGGAGTCTGATGATTGGTAAGTATCTAATTTTAAAATCATTATTATGTTTCCTGATGTAGAAGATATATTTTAGTAGCATATAGCTACAGTACAAGACAGTATGAACTGGGTTTGTGATGTAAAACTTGACCTATTCAGATTGGGTCTGTATTGCCCAATGTAATCATGATAATATTCTGCATAAACTTTATATCTATTATAATAATTAATTTCATTATGTTATATATACCTGCACATACATTATCTTAATAGACATGATGAAACGGACATTGAGTGTAAATGATTGATACTTTCAGAAAACAAGAGGCCCATGGGCCACATCGCTCACCTGAGAAGCGTTGACCATTCTGTTCTTTACCAGATTTCCCCCTTGTTATACATAATGCATCCCCACCCTACCCCACTGATCATAATTTAGACATTTTGAAATCTACACTACCCCATGATCCTTCCATGGGCACATATGTTTCAGCTTTTTTGGCCCAGTGGTTCCTGAGAAGAAGATTTTCAAAGATTTTTCCTATATATTTCTATGTAAAACTTTGATTCCCTATAATGGCCCCGCTCTTCCCCTGGGGGTCATGATTCCTACAATTTAGAATTTACACTACCTCAGAATGCTTCCACATAAGCTTCACTTTTTCTGGCCCAGTGGTTCTTGAGAAGAAGATTTTCAAAGATTTTTCCTATATATTTCTATCTAAAACTTTGATTCCCCATTGTGGCCCCGCCCTTCCCCCGGGGGTCATTATTTGAACAATTTAGAATCTACATTATACCAGGATGCTTCCACATAAGTTTCAGCTTTTCTGGCCCAGTGGTTCTTTAGAAGAAGATTTTCAAAGATTTTTCCTATATATTTCTATCTAAAACTTTGATTCCCCATTGTGGCCTCGCCCTTCCCCCGGGGGTCATGATTTGAACAATTTAGAATCTACATTATACAAGGATGCTTCCACATAAGTTTCAGCTTTTCTGGCCCAGTGGTTCTTGAGAAGAAGATTTTCAAAGATTTTTCCTATATATTTCTATCTAAAACTTTGATTCCCCATTGTGGCCCCGCCCTTCCCCAGGGGGTCATGATTTGAACAATTTAGAATCTACATTATACCAGGATGCTTCCACATAAGTTTCAGCTTTTCTGGCCCAGTGGTTCTTGAGAAGAAGATTTTCAAAGATTTTTCCTATATATTTCTATCTAAAACTTTGATTCCCCATTGTGGCCCCGCCCTTCCCCCGGGGGTCATGATTTGAACAATTTAGAATCTACACTATACCAGGATGCTTCCACATAAGTTTCAGCTTTTCTGGCCCAGTGGTTCTTGAGAAGAAGATTTTCAAAGATTTTTACTAAATATTTCTATGTAAAACTTTGATTCCCCATTGTGGCCCCGCCCTTCCCCCAGGGGTCATGATTTGAACAATTTAGAATCTACACTACCCCAAAATGCTTCCACATAAGATTCAGCTTTACTGGCTCAGTGGTTCTTGAGAAGAAGATTTTTTAATGACCCAACCCTATTTTTGCCTTTTCTTGATTATCTCCCCTTGCGAGGGGATATGTCCCTTCATTTTAACAATTTAAATTCCCCTTCACCCAAGGATGCTTTGTTTGGTCAAAATTGGCCCAGTGGTTCTTGAGAAGAAGTCGAAAATGTGAAAAGTTTACAGACAGACAGACAGACGGACAGACGGACAGACGGACGGACAGACGGACGGACGACGGACAAAATGTGATCAGAAAAGCTCACTTGAGCCTTCGGCTCAGGTGAGCTAAAAACACTTAATTCAGACAAATAAAATCACTGCATCTTCAACAGTCAAACCGTTCACGGTAGCTCAGTCGGTAGAGCGCTCGCTCCGTGATCGGGAGGTCGTGAGTTCGTGTCTTGGCCGCGACTGACCTAGTCGTTAAAATGGGTAGCAACTGTTCCTTCGCCATGCGCACAGCAATTGAAGTGAAAGTTGCGGGTCCTTCGGATGAGATCTTAAAAACCAAGGCCCCGTGTCAGTGACAGGCGCTGGCACGATAAAGATCCCTCACTGCTCAATGGCTCTGAGTGCCGAGTAAAGGTCAAAATTTGAAGCCCTTTACCGGCATACGATGACGTCTCCATATGAGTGAAAAATTCTCGAGAAGGACGTTAAACAATATACAATCAATCAATCAACAGTCAAAACTGAAATTTCAATTATTTTGCATAAGGATGAACACTTATCATGCTTATAATATTAAATTTAAAATATCCAAACTTTTTAATTTAACTTAATAAAAGTTAACCAGAATTTATTTTACAGGAAATGTGCATCAGTAAATGTTCTTTGCTTGGGAGAAAGAACAGACATTAAAAAGTTCATGGGGGAACCAGATGCCAGAAACAAGGAGGAGAGGAATGGTACCATATGTAAGCTGCATCGTCATACCAACAGACATGCAATTACAGAGCTTGTTACTGATGAGATGTTTTCCTTGCTGGCCTCCAATGGTATCTCACTGGAGGACAAGATTCAGCGAGGATCAGCCATGACAGCAGGGGGTGATATGATTAATGCTGGTGACTGGGTGGAATACCAACTATCAACAGTTGAGGATGTATGTACACTGTGTGATGAAATATTTAGAATTGAATTTGTAACCTAGCTTTAATAGTTTGAAATTTTAAGACTTCACTAATTCCAGTAAACATGGTAAAAGAAAACATGGAAGAAATATTAGTTACAAGTTAACATTGGTTAATGCATTTTTATTAATGTAGTTTGATCTTTCTTTTTTAGGAATGTAGTGGAGTCTTTAAAGAGGGAATTATAGTTACACCAAAGAGAGGAGAATCAAAGATGCTGGCCATATTACAGAAAGCCACGGAATATTCCACCATTTGTGAGTTTATGGGATGTCCAAGGTTACATCTGGAAGAGGAAGTTGTTGCCATTCCTGCTAGTCAAGTTAGAGGGAAAATCAATGTAATGCATGACTGCATAGGTGCGAACTGCCGTGTAAGAGACAGCAGGGTAAAGGAGAGGGTTGAGCAAGAAGAAGTGTTAACAAGGAAAGTCCATTTGCATCATAATTATGAACATGGCTATTTTTTTAAAAATTACTACATGCTCAGAGATTTCAGTTAAATTTCCCATCTCCAGCAGGCATTGTTGAATTTTTTAAACATTTTGTATATAGCAGATCTGTTTACTATTATTATTGTCTCTCAGTATTTTTATGACCTCAACCTTTCCTTCGACCTTGACCACATTTTTCTTCAATTAGTGTTTGGTACAGTTTTTGGTATCTCTGACATTTTATTATTGATAAGTTTTAGCCCAAAAGTGGTCCAAACCAATCCTTAAAGGGGAGAGGGAATGATTTGAACAAACTTAAATCTACACCAACTAAGGATGCTTGTATAATTTTTTGACTACCTGTGTCTTTATAGCCCTTTACATTTGAACTTACTTTGTGGCCCCGCCCTACCCCCAGGGGTCATGACTTGAACAAACTTCATCTACACTACCTGAGAATGCTTCCATATGAATTTGACTAATCATGGCTTTGCCATTCTTGAAAAGAAGATTATTAAAGAATTTTTTTTACATATTTCTAAGTAAAACTTGGACTCCATGGTATGACTCCGCCTTAGCCCCAGGGGTCATGATTTGATCACACTTGAATCTACGCTACCTGAAGATGCTTCCCTATAAATTTCATCTTTACTGGCACAGTGAATCTTGAGAAGATTTTTAAAGAATTTTCCTATATATAACTATGTAAAACTTTGTTTGGCCATTGTGGCCCCACCCTAACCGCGGGGGTCATGATTTGAACAAAATTGAATCTACACTACCTGCCATATAAATATGATCATTCATGCCTTTGGTATTCTTGATAAGAATATTTTTTTAAAAATTCCCTATACATTTCTATGTAAAACTTTGATGGGCCATTGTACATGTGGCCCCACCCCTAATCCCAAGGGTCATGATTTCATCAGACTTGAATCTACACTACCTGAGGATGCTTCCCTAAAAGTTTCAAATTTCCTGGCACAGTGCTTCTTGAAAAGATTTTTAAAAAATACCACCAAATTTTCACTATTTCTGAATTATCTCCCCTTAAATGAGAGCGTGGCCCTTCATTTGAACAAAATTGAATCCCCTTCACATAAAGATACTTTGTGGCAAGTTTGGTTGGAATTGGTCCAGCGGTTCTTGTGAGGAAGATGAAAATGTGAAAAGTTTACAACAACAACGACGACAGACAACGGACAAATTTTGATCAGTTCAGCTCAGGTGAGCTAAAAATAATTGTAAAAATTGATTGTAAAAATATTATGATATTATCGTGATATTTTGGGAAAAAATCATGAGAAATTGCGATACAAAATTTTGGTGATACCCATCCGTATCATTAGCTGATACATACTGATATTAAGAACTCTTCAACTGCATCAACATTTTTTTTTTACCTTGACCTCACTTTAAAGAAATTAGTGCTAAACTTCATATGCAGATACATACTCATAATATAACATGAACTCCGAAAACAAAGTTTTTAATTCCATCCTGCATTGCAGCAAATGGTTTCTGATGTAAAGAAACAGTATGTGGATTGCCATTCATTTGGTTTAATTTCTTCAAAATTAATATGATAATGGCCGAATAATTTTATGGCTGTACTTTGTATACATGTATATTGATTTTTTTGTGACTTCATTTGTTTTTAATTCCACCCTGCATTGCAGCAAATGTTTCTGATGTAAAGAAACAGTATGTGGATTGCCATTCATTTGGTTAAATTGTTCAAAACTAATATGATAATGGCCGAATAATTTTATGGCTGTATTTTTTTGTAAGTTGATTTTTTTTTTTACTTTATTTCAATTTTTGTTGAATGAGAAATTGCACCTTAGTCGCCTATCTAAATAATTATTTTATTGAATTATTCTTTTGATGTTGCTTTGATCATTAATATCTTGCATAGAATAGGCCTTTTAATTTTGAAATACTACATTGAATTCAACAATTATATTTATGCCCCCCTTTGAAGAAGGGAGGGGATGTTGCTGTTGTCTGTCGGTCAGTCAGTCTGTCCACTTAGTTTCTGTTCATTTTCTTCCCAACCGTTGCACATACTGAAATGAAATTTGGTATACAGATATATCACATGAATATCTAGGCTAAGTACTGTTTTGGGTATGATTGCACCATTTTTGACAAAGTTTTGCCCCTTGGACTTACAAAATTTTCAATTATTTTCAGTTTCCGTTTATTTTCTTCGCAAACATAGCACAAACTGAAATTTAGCATACAGATTTATCAGAGAATATCTAGGTCTAATTCTTATTTGGGTACGATCGCACCATTTTTGACAGAGTTATGTCCCTTGGACTTAGAAAAATTCCCTTTTGCAGTTTCCGTTCATTTTCTTTGCAGAGGTTGCACATAATAAGATGAAATTTGGTTTACATATTTATCAGATGAATATCTTGGTCAAGTTCTGTTTTTGGTACAATCACACCATTTTTGACAGAGTTATGCCTTTTTGGACTTAGAAAAATTCCAATTTGAGGGGCATAAGTGTTTTGCAAACATCTCTTGTTAATTTAAATTTTATGTTGTTAATTTCTTATAATAAGAAATAATATTGTGATGTTTTTGTTTTATTTTGAAGACAACCAGATTATTAATGAATTTGTTACGTTAATACTTAATAGAAAAAAGTACATTTCTCGATCACCTCAGAGCAAAGAACAGGTTCATGATAATATCTTTTCACATGTGATAAAAAAAAACACACTCTCATTTAATTGAGATTTCATTTACAATTAGAATAATGATTGATTGATGATATGGGTAAAATTCAGTCCTGAGTTCTTCCAGTTTTTCAATAAACTGCATGTATACTGAATTTGTGTTTGTTTCTAAATAGTAGAACACTATACAATTTGAAATTTCTGTGGATCAAAGAAGCTAGTAAAACGGGTACTGCTAAAAATTTTGAAACCTATTAAGTACATCAAAGTTTTTAAGATTGTTTATCATGTGTTCATATTGTTTTGTTTATATTGACATGACACTAGCATGGTTAGTCTGCTGTAATACATTACAATAACAGTAAATGTAGATAAATATGTTTAGAAAATGCTATCGCTGTCAATTATTAATTCTTTGATGAATTATTGTGTTTGTATTATGATAATCTTATATATTTGTATCATATACAATGTACTCACATAATTACCGGGTATACAGGTCATATGCTCAAACCATATGGTGGGGAAACAGTAAACTTCTTATTTCCGGTTCAATATTTTTTGTGTTATTTTTATACATGGGCCTTATTTGAAAAAAAAATGAAAATGCTCCATGCATACTAATTACTTGCGAAGCTTTTAACTATATGTAAAAATTTCCATGCAAACCAGAGGTTTCTTGTATAGGAAAAAAAAAATGAAATGTACATTTTCGGAATTCCGTATGCTGATCGTTGTTCAATCAATTTTACTTGCCATATGAGATTTCTTGTGTAGGAGAGTCAAGGAAGGAAAACATGTTATGATCATGTTATCACGACAGAGGCATGATAATAATAGAATTAGAACAGTAGTATTTGTTTAGACTTGCTTTTAAATCCCGTTGATCACTCATAAAGTAAGTTCGGACTCATAAATCCTCAGGCAAAATAAAAAAAACAATTAAAATTTTGAATCATAATGTTCACATAGTCATATAACATACTATATAGATCTACATTTTATGTCTCCGTGTAATGCGTAATTGCATATCAACAATTGAAATGAAGTGAAGTTATATTATCTATGTAAAAACATTTGTAATGATTTTTAAAACATTAAGGAAAAGTCAATCTCTCCCATGTTTTGTAGTAGTATACAAGGCTCAGGGATAAAAAATACAACTCGTTGGATAAAACTCCTATTGATGACTAATCATGAGAGATCCTATATGTATAAATATACATATATATATATATATGCAATATTTTATTAACTTCATATGTGTTTTACATATGTTTGATCAAACATTATGTAAACCGAACCTTAACTAACGTATGTTTAACATGTGTTTGATAAAACATATGCAAATCATATGTTAACTAACGTATGTTTAACATATGTTTGATAAAATATACGTAAACTGTATGTTACCTAACGTATGTTGAACATGTGTTTGATACTACATATGTAAATCATGTGTTCATTACCATACGTGTAACGCATGGTTGCACATACCATATGTTATACGTACGTGAAACATGTGTTACACATACGTGTTATTGAACCGCACGTTTAACGTATGTTATGTGAACTGTATGTTGGCACACGTATGTTATCCATATGTTTTTCAACATACGTCAAACGTGCGGTTCAATAACACGTATGTGTAACACATGTTTCACGTACGTATAACATATGGTATGTGCAACCATATGATAAACGTACGTGGCACAATTAGCTGTGTAGCATAATATCTGCGGTTATTAACGCGTTTCTTCCTCCACTTTTTACGAGTTCTGCAGAGGATCGAAAACTCGCCCATGAGATGGTAAGGAAGAGTAAGGAGAAGCAAAATGTATTTTTTGAAAGGGTTGAATATGGATCACTCTCTAGCAGGGGTAGGTGGAGACCCCTGCAAGATTCAGATAATACTCCTGATTTCCCCATTCTCAGCCAGTCTGTACTTACGGCTCTTACTTTTGGGGTGTATCAGTTGAGACGGGCTGCCAGTTACACCCAAGAGCATTTAGACGAAGAGGGTGACTACAACATTGACGTTTACCATGAAGCTGATGACATTATTCGTGTTAGGATACAATCAAGACATATTTCATCAAAGAAATATTTCCTCTGGGTTCAATTTTCCCTTACTAACAATGAAGATCCAATAACTTCGTGGTATTGTCAATGTAAAGCAGGGATGCGCACAGTCGGTTGTTGTGCTCATATAGCATCTGTGCTTTGATATTTAGGTCCTGATAGACATACACATATAGACAAACCTCAGCCTAAACGAAAATTAAGATCTTTGGTAAAAGATGTTAATAAAGCGAAATGGCGTTTCGGGTAGTGTGGATTACTGTTTCTATTTTTTAAGTTCTTTTATCGTATTGAAAAAAAAAAATAAAAAGCAATAAATTAAAAAACAAAACAGAAAGAAAGAAAGAACAGAAAAACATGAAGAGAGAAACGAGTTTTATACGATTCGTTTGAGAGAGAAAGAGAGAGCATGAACAAGTTATGCTGCTTTAGCCGTATTGTCAATTATTTAGCTTTTTAATTTTTTTTAAGTCAGATTTTTTTTGTATATATTTTTTTTTTCAGATTGTGTAGATCTTTTCTTTCTTTTTTCCCCTTTGAGAATAATTTTAGAACGGACTGGTATAAAGAAAGAAAGGGAAAAAAGAGAAATATCTGAACAGTGTACTAGTAATTATGCATATAGATTATTGATTTCCTTTTAAATCAGATAAATTATTTTTGATCAGCAATGTACTAGTATAGAAAAGCAATCACATATTTAATGTATGCAAGTTTAATCTTGTCACATGCTAACTTTAATTTTTTTTATAGTTTAATCTCATTTGCAATTGATCAAAAAAGGGCACATTTTCACCTTGTTATGGTCTGTAAACATATGTAACCCCCTTGAAACAACAATAGCTTTGGTACAGCTTTGCAAAATGACACTTTATAATACCTGAAAAAAGGAATTTGTGTTTCACGGGGGGGGGGGGGAGATGTTTTAAAAATATTTTCCGTTTTTCGTTGATTTCCATTGTGAAAAACGTGATTTGAACCTAAATTATAGAGTTATCTCGCTTTGTTTTGTCAAATAAATAGACTTTTATGAAAATTCATATAAATATCTCTATTGGCGTAAACATTTATTTAAAAATGACAACTTTTGAAAATTGACTTGGAGGTAGGCGGGAGAACAATACTATCGTTCGTAGTTTTTTACTGACCTGGTCATTGGTCATATGCAAAATTGTTAAAATACATTCTGATTGAACACAAAAGTTCCCTGAATTTGGCATCAAAGAAATGTTTGAGATTCTGATTGACGATATCTATGTGTTTTTGTGACCAGGTATTCCAACAATCTATTGGAATTCCAATGGATACAAATTGCATTGTGCTCCGTTATTAGCAGACCTATTTTTATTTTCATATGAAGCAGAATTTGTGTAAAATCTTATGCGAGAAAAGAAGAAAACACTCGACATTTAGATATATCGACGACGTCATTGTTAATTACCGGAATCATTGGTACTTTCCATTCCTGAGTCGATAGTATATATCCTGGTGAGCTTGAGATAAAAGATACCAAAGATCCTGACACATATGTTTCATACTTGGATATTTTACTTGAAAAAGACGTTTATGGTAATCTAACAATCAAGCTACAATGAAGCGCACTGAAGTGGTAAAATTTTCCGTTCCAATGGAA